TACTTTTTTAAGAATGAAAAGAAGTGCACTAAAATCTAACCATGTCTGTATTGACGCAACAAGATGATTGGTAATTTTTTATGGTTTCAATTTCCTAATTTGTGCTGTTTTAAGTTGTGCAATACTTAGGGGTTTTGTTTTGTTTTGTTTTTTAAGTTCTCTTCAGCTGGTTGTCCAATGTGTGAGGTTGCATCACCTGTGCACAGGTGTCCTTCACCAAGATCTTTGCGATGCTGAAGAAGGTAAATGACCACTTGGGTCACAGCCTTGGACTTGACTGGCAAGAGCATCCTGGCTGTCTCCACAGACATAGCAAAACAAGATGAGGTCAGAAACGGAGGAGGCTGTTTGGACTAGGGATTACACATTGGGCAAGCTGGGCTGCATCACAGAGTGGCTGGCACAGCACATTATATCTTTATAAATTTATTAGTTTAAGTATTTCTGCCTGGTGCCGTAAGCCTGAGGGTACTTGAATCTGTGTTTAGAGATCGTAGTTGAAATTAATATGTTTTAATTCTAAAAATGAATTTAAAAGAATCACTTGCAACAGGCCAATATTAGAAGATGGAGTTGCAATATCAGGGATTCAGGGTCCCCGCTGAAAATGCTCTATCTAGAAAATGTAACTAAGCTGGTTAAATATATACAGATAAGTGATTGGCAATAATGGTACTAGCTTTCACATAGCTTCCTTGTACCAAGAAGGAGTCTGAATTCTAAAGGCATATGCCATTGCTCCTCATGGTCAGTGACTGAGGTCACATACTTGCAGTTCTAATAGGAACAAAGTTTTTAAAATTGTGAACTGAAGTAAGAGTTGTCTGCCCTGGACCCAAAGTGCAGTTCTGATGGGAACATCATTTGAAAACATTGTAAGTGGGTAAATATTTCTTCCTTTCTCTTTTTAAAAACTTCTTTTTTTTTTTTTGACACAGAGTTTCACTCTTGTTGCCCAGGCTGGAGTACAATGGCACGCATGATCTTGGCTTACTGCAACCTCCGCCTCCCAGGTTCAAGTGATTCTCCTGCCTCAGCCTCCTGAGTAGCTGGGATTACAGGCATGCACCACCATGCCCAGCTAATTTTATATTTTTAGTAGAGACGGGGGTTTCTCCATGTTGGTCAGGCTGCTCTCGAACTTCTGACCTCAGGTGATCCGCCCGCCTCAGCCTTCCAAAATGCTGGGATTACGGACGTGAGCCACCTCACCAGGCCAAAAACTTTGAAAAATATGGTCACTCTAGAAAATTTTGAAAATGAAATCAAAGTAAACAAACATGACACCAATAATTTTATACTGTAGACGTAACCCACCATTATAGTGCTGTTTATTTCCAAACTTTGCATACCTATATATGACTTATTTTTTAATCTCCTAATAAAGGAAATTAGGAGCACACTTACAGTCACTAGGTTGCTTAATTAACTGATTTGAAGGGAACTGAAGAACAGTCTCCCTATATTTTCTCCCCTAACCTAAAACTACAGGCTCACATTGAATCTGTAAATCATTTTGTGGATAATTGACATCTTAACATTCTCAAGTTTCTTGAACCAGGAACAAAGTTTAGCTCTCCAGTTACTTGGGGTTTATAATGTACATATTTAGGCTGGGTGCAGTGGCTCATGCTTGTAATCCCAGCACTTTGGGAGGCCAAGGTGAGTAAATCACTTGAGGTCAGGAATTCAAGACCAGCCTGGCCAACATGGTGAAACCCTGTCTCTTCTGAAAATACAAAAATTAGCCATGCATGATGGCACACGCCTGTAATCCCAGCTACTTGGGAGGCTGAGGCAGAAGAATTCCTTGAACCCAGGAGGCGGAGGTTGCAGTGAGCCGAGATCATGCCACTGCATTCCAGCCTGGGTGACAGAGGAGAGACCTTGTCTCCAAAAAAAAAAAAAAAATACATTTTTAATTTTTAATTTGTCTCAGTAGAACTTCAAGTGATTATTAAACCACTTCATATGCTGTGTAAGAGCCTCACAATAGTAGACTTCCATTTCTCTCTTCCTAGCCTTTATGCTATTGTCATATATTTACTTACATGTGTTTTACAAACCCTACAAGACACTGTTATTTTTGTTTTAACAATGTTACTTTCACTTTTAAAGATATTTCAATAATTTAAAAACTACAAATTTATCCATGTGCTTATCATTTTAGCCTTTTCATTCTTTTGTGTAGATCAGTTTTACATCTGATGCCATTTTTCTTCTGCATGGACTTTGAACATTTCTTGTAATTCAAGTCTGCTGGTGATTAATTCCCTCTTTTTTTTTTTTTTTTTTTTTTTTTTGTTTTTTTTTTTTTTTTTTTTTTTTTTTTTTTTTTTTAATGTGAGCTTTTGTTTGTTGCCTTCATTTTTTAAATACTTTTTTACTGGGTATAAGATTTTAGGTTGACAATATATCTTTCAGTACTTTAAAGATGTTTCTTCACAGTCTTCTTACTTGCATAGTTTCCAGTGAGATATCCACTGTCATCCTTATTTTTGTTCCTGTTCATGTAACATATCTGTCTTCCTCTGGCTACTTTTAGGATTTTGCTCTTTAGCACTGGTTTTGAGCAATTTTTGATGTTCCTTTATACAGGTTTCTTCATATTTCTTATACATGAAGTTCATTGAGCTTCTTGGATCTATAGGTTTATAATTTTCCTCAAATTTGGAAAATTTTGGGCTATTTCACATTTCCACCTTCTCCACCCCACCAGGGATTCCAATTAAACTTAGTTTACACTTCCCAAAGGCACCCCACAGTTTACTGATGCTCATTTCATTTGGGGGATTTCCTTTCTCTGTTTCATTTCAGATAGTTTCTATAGCTGTTTATCTCCAGGTTTACTCATCTTTTCCTATGCCATGTCTAATGGGATTACTGCTGGTAACAGACTGCAGTTTTCATCCGTAGAAATTTTATTTGGATCTTTTTAATATTATCCATGTCTCTACTTAATTTTTTGAACATATGAAACATAGTCACAACTGTTTTAATGTCCTTGTCTGCAAAGTCTAACAACTGTGGCTGTTCTGGGTCATCTCTGACTGGTTGATTATTCTCAATTTGAATTGTGTTTATTGTTTTGCACATCTGATCATCCTTGGATGCAAACATTGTGATTTTTACCATGTTGGATGCTTAATATTTTATATCCCTATACATATTCTTGACCTTTGTTTTAGGATGCGACTAGCTACCTGGAAACCTCTTTCCTTTGGGTTCTTGCTTTCATGATTCTTCGTCAGGTCTAGATCACTAGGTGGTGATTTATCTAGGTTTAACCCACTACTTAGAGAGCTTTCTCGGTTTTCTACCTAATGCCCTGTAGATTGTTTTCCCAGTCTGACTGGTGGAAACAAGCATTATTTCTAGCCCTCTCTGAGTGTCGGGCACTGTTCTCTAAGCCTTTCAGGTGACTTTTCCCCCTCCAAGTATAGGTAGTTTCTTCACCCCCATGCTCTGATCCATACTTTGCTGAATACTCAAGGGAAACCCTCTGTGGTCTCTGGAGTTCTTCTTCTGTGCTGCCCCTTCCTTTCTGATCCTCTGTTCTGCGAAGTGTGGTCAGGCCCTCAGCTCCGTCTCCTCCACTCAGGGAGTCTGTCAGGTACCACCTGACTCCTCCTCTGTGCGCTGGAGCCTGGAAAGTCTCAAGGCAGGAAGCTGATCAGTCACAGGGCTCACCTCTTTTGTTTCCTGTCTCTCAGGGACCACTTTTCTTCATTGCCTAACATCCAGTGATATGAAAACTAGCATGTGATATATTTTGTCTGATTTTTTCAGTTGTTTCAGTAGTAATGGTAAACCCAGTCCCTGACACTCCCTCTTGAGTAGAAGCAGAAGTCTTTTGACACTAGATTTTAATGGCCTGTTAACTTGTTTGTATCTGGCTTTGAGGGAGAGGGACCAGTGTCCTGATGAAGAGCATGGAGCCTGGAGTCAGACCAGCTCAAACCTCTTCTCCACCACTTCCCAGTCAGATGATCTAGGCCAGATTAACCTTTCTGTGACTTCATTCCCTCATTGTAAAATGGGGCTGATAACGGTTGTGTCACATAGGATTTTTGAAAAAACAAAATGAGATAATTTAAAGTATAACACACTTCCTGGAATATGTAACATGTTCAGTACATCTTAGCTAATAGACACTTGTCAAATGAATGAATGCCTGCTCTTGGCCCCCAGTACCACAAAGGAGGTAGGTGCCTTAGGATCTGGGATCCCCCATCGCTGAGGGTGCTGGGGACATGAGCCTGTGCTCCCAGAATGATGATGCATCCATGTGACTCAACTTGTCACCCTCAGTTGCTGTCATTCTTTTCATCTCAGTAACAAGACTGGGTTATTTGCCTGTTTTTCAGGGGAAGACAGGAAGACCCCCAGCGAATCAAATAGCCCCTCTTCATCCTCCCTCTCAGCTCTGAGTGATTCGGCCAACAGCAAAGATGATTCAGATGGCTCCCAGAAAAACAAGGGTGGGAACAACCTGCTGGTCATCTCTGTCATGCCTGGGAGCCAGCCCTCACTGAACAGTGAGGAAAAGCCAGAGAAAGGTAAGGAGGAGGTGGGTGTGAGCCTGCTCAACCCTCCGCACCCTGGGATGACCCATTCTTGAGAATAAGCCCTGGACAAGAGCAATGTCAGAAACTGATAATAGGCCCAGAATGCAGTATGCTGGGCATCACCTAAAATTTGCATTTCCTTTGGCTTAATTTGCATCTGACTACGGGGTGGAAGAATGGGGAGGGTGACACTGATGCCGATGTTTGTATGTTTGACTCCTTTTAGCACGGAGATGTGGGAAACAGTGCCTGGCAGGGTACAGCTGTCAGGCAGAGGAGGCGGGAGGAAGGAGGAACTCGGCTCCACTCCTGCCCTCCTCTCCCCCCTGCCCCATGCACCTCTATACCCAGCTTCGGTCCTTGCAGGGTTCGAATGCGTTTTTTGCAACTTTGTCTGCAAGACGAAGAACATGTTTGAGCGTCATCTGCAGATACACCTCATCACCCGGATGTTTGAGTGTGATGTGTGCCACAAGTTCATGAAGACCCCTGAACAGCTGCTGGAGCATAAGAAATGCCACACTGTCCCCACCGGTGGGCTCAAGTAAGGAAAGCAAGTACAGAACCTTTTACTGCGTTGTTATTAAACACCCTTTCCCCTTCCCTACCCTGTCCCTTCCCGTGAAGGTTTTGGGAGTCATGGAGAAGGGGAGCTTGGTATGAGGGGAGTTAGTCAGGAACCTCTGCTGCCTTTTAGCTGGATTGAATTAGACCTGTCCCCCTAAGGTGTCAATAGACCTCAGCAGGAGAATCCATTTTGCAAATATCCTGGGATTCAGGGCAAGAAAAACGACACGTTGCAACAGCCCAGCATGCAAGAATAGACTCCTCCTACACTGCTTGAGTTTTGTTCAGACTTGATTTTAATGGAGTTGGGGCTTAGTGTCCGCAAGCATAAATCATGCTCTCACCGAGATTCACCATCTCTGTTTTTCAGATGGCTTGCTACACATCCTTTAAGTAACCATTACAACCCCCCCCCAAAATTGGACAGTTTGAAGAGGCAGGAGGCAACATTTTTCATACAAAGATCATGTGCTTCCTATCCTCCTGCAAACATACTAATGTCTTCCTCCAGAGGTCTAGACAGCGACCATCATCTTTAACCAGTATTTTCAAGAGACTCTTTGGTCTCAAGTGTGACCAATCAATTAATATCAAACATACTGTGTGTCTGGCTTGATAACAGGTGCTAACGGGCACACAGAAATAAAACACCATTTCCACCCTCAAGAAATGTATCCCCTAGTACTACCTAATCTGCCCAGTGAAATCAGAGTCCCTGTTCACAAGGCACTTAGGGTCTGGTAAAGAGAAAGCAGCACATGTAGCGACACAGAAAGACACCGTTTTCAAGGCATAATTACTCATTTTTAGCTAAACAATCATGTTGAATGAAAAATTACGTTTTACTTAACACAAGGGAAAAAAAAAAAACTTTTGTTTTCAAACATTTTCAGCATTGAAACCCGCAACCTGCCAGAGAGGTGGCATGACTCCCCCAAATGGGTGAGGAAGGGAGAGATGGAAAAGGACCCTGGGAGTGCAGCGTTGGGGGCAGTGCAGGCCTGGTGGCCCTAGGCCCCTGCCTCCTCAAAAACTTCCCCAAACAGAAGAGTCAGGGAGCAACAGGACCTACCGCTGAACTCCGTTTCGTTTCACTCTTGGGGGTGCTTCCGTGGGAGGGGGAGGGGAGAGCAGAGGGGATTGGGGAGGGGGTAATTATAATTCAAGGAAGCCAGTCGATGGGAAATGCCTAGTGAGAGCTCACTGGGAAATTTGATTTGATTTGTTCCCACTGTCCCTTTATAAATATTTGTGTGCTCTTACTTTAAAAAGAAAAACACCAGAATCATGTTTTTCTGTGGTTGGACCAGTGATCACTGCCCTTCCCAGTAGCCCAGTCACACCCATGAACGTTACGGCCCCTGCCAGTTGTGGCTTTGCCAGTTCGCCTTTCCTCAGGGACCTCCAAAGTCCCGAGCCTCTGAAGCCATGGGGGAGAATGCACAGTGAACTCTGATGCTTTTGCTGGTACAGAACACTTCCCGTGCGGTGCTAACCGTCCCCTGTGTAATAGTTTATGTTCTAGGATGACCAAGTAGAAGAATACTTTGAAAAAATTGATAATGCCTTCTGGCTATACAGTGAGTCTTCGTTTTGTTTTGTTTTGTTTCCTTTGCCATATCAGAGAATTAATTTGCCTGAGAGAGTGTCTTTAAGAAAATAACGGGAGCACGGAAAAAAACCCTTAGCACTTTGCCTGAGCAGTGAAAGAAAGATTGAGCTGTGGGTCACAGAAATGTCCTTAAAATGAAACAGACTGCCGATGTCTAAATTGCTTTTCTGTGATGGAACTGCTTGTACTCTATATCCTGTTCATAATGCAGATCAAATAAGATTATACTATTATTTTTCTTTTGCCGTAGCTCAGGACAGTGGTGAGTTTCAGACTCCTCTAGGTAAGGCCCAGCTTGGCGTAGGGGTTGTGTGTGCACCTGACCTGGGAATGGGCTTTATATTTCTCTCGTGTGCACTCTTCTGTGAGCTGAGGTTCAAAGGCTAACGGCGAGCTTGGCGCTGAGGAGGCCGTGCACGGTGCACTTGGTTGTGTTGGGCTCTGCTGAACACCTCTCTCCAGACCCTCCGAGGACAGTCCACTCCCGGGCCCTGCCCTGCAGGAGCCAAGCAAGAGCTGAGGCAGCCACTTTTGCATTTGCATTCTTTGTGGAAAGAGAGCAAACACGCTACCGTCCTCCTCTAAGCCACTGACTCCAGCCTGGCAGCTTCTAAAAGAGAAGCTCAGCGGAGTTTGTTAACGTGGCCTCACCACTCCTCGTGGCCCCTCTGGACAGCCAGGAGGGCTCGTGGTAGCGTAGCCTCACTGCAAAGGATGGAGAAACTGAGCCACAGAGAGGCCCAGGCTCATCCTAGGGTATCCAGCTCCGGCCTGATAAGGTGATGGAGCTGAGACCAGCATCCACCCCTCCAGAATCTACCTAAATTGCCTGTAGAGATCACTCAAATAATGAACCAGTATGTCCTGAGTGCTTACCATGTGCTGAGTACTCTACCAAGCACAGCAGAGAATGCAGAGGAAATGTAAGATTCGTTCCTGCCCTCTGAGAATTTCCGATTCAGTTGGATTATTACCATTTCTACGGCATAATCATGTATTAATAATGTCTTTGAGCTCCAGATAGCAGCTGTCTCCTCCCTCCTCCCTTCCTCATTAGCAGATGGGCCGTTTGGGTGGGCTTCCTTCTCCTCCCATGCCCCTGCCATAGTCCTCAGCTTCCTTTCCTGATCAAGAGCCAGTCCTATAAGGAGATATGTTTTATGAGTACATAGATATGTACACACGCACACACTCACACAGAGAGACACACACAGGCCTTCTCATCCTAACAACCCCTTAATAAGCACGATTCTGACCCCTGTGACTTTCTGTTTGCTGGAGGTAGCGCTCCCCCTATAAGCTGTTCTTTAAAACCTCTTAGCCTTTCTGCGTGTGCTTGGTGTGGTGCATGAAAAGTCGATTCTTTGTGTTGCTCCCATCTAGAGGGGAGGTCAGGAGGTTTAGACCTCTGCTCTGTCTGGTCGGGAGTGGGGAGGGCTCCGAGGGGTTGGGCGGGGGCTGGAGGGGAGCACCAGGAAATTGATTCCTGGCACTTTCTCTGCTCCCCTTCCTGAGAGCTGGCATTGGCTGTGCTGGCCAGGAGACCCAGAATAGGCTGAGCGGCCCTCGCCAGAGCTGCTTGTCAGTGGGGACTGCTCTGTCAGCAGGGAGAGCCAAAAAGGGCTGTTCCACCCCTGAGAGGCGGCAGGGCTGGGCTGGGCAGGCCTCAGACACTGGGGGGCGGTGTGAGGGAAGGCTGGTGAGGAGGGGAGACGCGGGGCTGCCTCCGGACCGTCCCAGCTGAACCTCCCTTGCGCTGCTTCCCCCGGCAGGTGCCCATTCTGCATTTATTCCACCAACCGCCCCGCTGCCATGGAGTGCCACCTCAAGACCCACTACAAGATGGAGTACAAGTGCCGGATCTGCCAGACGGTGAAGGCCAACCAGCTGGAGCTGGAGACGCACACCCGGGAGCACCGCCTGGGCAACCACTACAAGTGCGACCAGTGCGGCTACCTGTCTAAGACCGCCAACAAGCTCATCGAGCACGTGCGCGTCCACACCGGGGAGCGGCCCTTCCACTGTGACCAGTGCAGCTACAGCTGCAAGCGCAAGGACAATCTCAACCTGCACAAGAAGCTGAAGCACGCCCCTCGCCAGACCTTCAGCTGCGAAGAGTGCCTGTTCAAGACCACACACCCTTTCGTCTTCAGCCGCCACGTCAAGAAGCACCAGAGTGGGGACTGCCCCGAGGAGGACAAGAAGGGCCTGTGTCCAGCCCCCAAGGAACCGGCCGGCCCCGGGGCCCCGCTCCTGGTGGTCGGGAGCTCCCGGAATCTCTTGTCTCCCCTGTCAGTCATGTCCGCCTCCCAGGCTCTGCAGACCGTGGCCCTGTCGGCAGCCCACGGCAGCAGCTCAGAGCCCAACCTGGCACTCAAGGCTTTGGCCTTCAACGGCTCCCCTTTGCGCTTTGACAAGTATCGGAACTCAGATTTTGCCCATCTCATTCCCTTGACAATGTTATACCCCAAGAACCACTTGGATCTCACATTCCACCCTCCCCGACCTCAGACTGCGCCTCCCAGCATCCCCTCGCCCAAACACTCCTTCCTCGCCTATCTCGGACTGAGAGAAAGAGCAGAGACTGTCTGAGGGCAGCCATGCTCTGTACCAAAAAACAAAGAGACAAAGACAAAAAAAAAAAAAACCCTCAAAACTTAAACACAACCCCAGCAGGTGTATGTTGCTGCAAAACCTACAGGCCCGCATGGGTCTGAAACATGTGTACTGTATATCTTTAGTAAGGAATAGAGAATTGGCTCTGTGTGTATACCTATTGCATTGACCTGAAAGCTGCTTTATCCAATCTTCAGAGAGGTGACCTACTGCATACTTCTACCTTCAGAGGCATGCCTCCCCAGCCACCCACTCCCACTCTCAGCCCTTCTCCGTGCTTTTCTCTGAAAGGAATCTTGTCTTGTTAAACCCTAAAGAGAGTGTCCTTAATAGCAATCAGCACTTGTAAGCTTGTATACCGGTGCATTTGGTTTTCTGTTGGGTGAATGGGGGTGCGTGGGCGTTTGCGGATTCTGAAAGAGAAAGCCGTGTGTCGCGTGCCGTGACATTTCTATTGCACATTCTTTGTACTGGCTTCTTCAACAGCGATGAACGTTCTTTTCCCTCCTGGGCGGTTCATCCACAGCTGTCTCACCCTGTGCTCCTTCATCACCTTTCCCTCTCTCTTTGACGGCTACAGAGTGGTAGGGCCTGGTGCTTAGTCGATGAAGGAATGGTAGACATCTGCAGTGCTGCTGGAGATTTCCGCCAGAGCTCTGGAGACCCTGTGCTCAGATCTTCTCTGGTGATGAAGATGCGAGGAATCAAGTGACTGATCTGGAAGAAATATCTCGCAGCACTGCAGCTAACATCACAGAACTTAAGTGTATTTTGTGTGTGTGTGCCCACACATAGACAAATGTGGAGGGTGCACACACACACAGCGCATCATTTTTTTAAGGGCAGATTATATATATATATGATGTATTAATTCAGTGGTTACCATTTGTTTGCAGGAAAAAAAAAATGTATGAGTGAAAAAAATTTATGGTTGATAAATCCAGCCAAGGAGATTAAAAGGGGTTTGGATAAATTCTGGGTATAAATGCTCAGACTAAAAAAAAAGAAACGGCAGTTTTGCACAGTGCTATGGTCTTGCACTAGTTTTTGTTTCTCATCTGAAAAAAAAGAAAGTAAAATAAAAGGAAGAAAATGTACCTTTTTTATGGAATGAGAAGACTGTATGTTTGAAGATTTAGCCACAACCTCTTTGACATATAATGACGCAACAAAAAGGTGCTGTTTAGTCCTATGGTTCAGTTTATGCCCCTGCCAAGTTTCCATTGTGTTTTGCTGATCCTCTGGCTATCGCGGTATTCTCCATGTTATTAATAACTCTGTATTCCATTTTGTTAACGCCTGGTAGATGTAACCTGCTAGGAGGCTAACTTTATACTTATTTAAAAGCTCTTATTTTGTGGTCATTAAAATGGCAATTTATGTGCAGCACTTTATTGCAGCAGGAAGCAGGTGTGGGTTGGTTGTAAAGCCCTTTGCTAATCTTAAAAAGTAATGGGTGATTTTAAAAGAAAAAAGGAAAAAAAATCTTTGGCTGAGTATGTTCATTGCTTGTATTTTTAAAACAACAGAATTTCCAGTATGAAACAGGCTGAAAGAGCAGGAAGAAATGTTCTTTGTATCATAATGGGAAGTTTGGAATATAAAAGTTTATATATTATTTATCTATTGGAGAACTGGTGTACAGGAGGAATGCGTTCTTTCTGTGTTGCTGTTTTCCATCATGTGTTATCCTAAGAGTTGGTTTTTTTAAAAATCTGTTTCACCAGGGGAAAATAAAAGCATCCCTAATATTCTTCCTCTAGTCAGTTTGCTTTGCTGAAAGCTCCCTGGAAATTAGTACAGTTCTACAGGAAGCCAGAAGACTGTACTGTCTGTCCACACCATGCTCTCCCCAGCCCCCTCCATGCCAGTCCCTCCTCCCCACACCCAGCAGGTGTGCTACACCTCCTTTTGCCAGTCACCCGCCATGGATGGGGAGCCTGCCTGGTGCCCTGGCAAACCTGTTTACACTAAGGAGATGCCCACAGGGTCAGGGAGGCCAAACCAGCTAGGGCGGGAAGCTCCCAAACCCTCAGTCATTCTCCAGCAGAGACCTTTGCTCTTGGCCAGGTTTGAAACGGTGTTCAACCTCGCCACGTCAATGTCTCAGTAAAAGACACTAAAGATAGTTATGGACAATACACTCCAAGAATTCTGGGCTTATGGGTGGGATGGTTTTTTTGTTGGTTTTTTTTTTTTCCAAGTCATGTCTTTATTCAAGTCATGTCTCTATCCCCATATAATGGAGAATGTGCCACTAGGCTAATAATATGTTTTCAAAATTACAAGTTCAGTGATGACAGGAAAGGGCTATAATCCCACAGAGGCTGGTAGAAAAGGTGAGTAACACTGAAGCACCAGTGGGTTAAAAACCTGAAAGGGCAGCCCTGACAATTCGGACTATAGGTTTTACAGCATGCCACTTGTGCAATAGGAGGTCTTAGGGTTGAAACTTTCAAGAACAAGAGGGGTGAAGGAAGGAGACGTTTACTGCTCAAATGCCATGCATTTCACTGCTTGCCACTGAACTTGTATTTGAATGACTTAGTAATGCTTAATATAATTGGGCAACTTTTTTAGCACTTTGGAAAGAGTCATCAATCTTTCTGGTAAATTATAAAAGTTTTCTGAGTGAGAACAGGTGTGTTGGGAGTTTGTTTGACTTTTTATATTATTATTGTTATTAATAAAGAAAAAAATCTACAGCATTTTTCAGACTCCACCCTAGAAAATATGTACCCCTGAATTTGGTTTGCAGTCGATACTCAGGGAAGGATGTATTCCATAGATATCCTTTCCGTGTAAAACACTAACATCTTTGAGAAATTCACCTACCAACTAACTTCAGTTGTTTTCACTATGCATTCTTCAATGAAAGCTAGCTTATTTTTCCATATAGTAATGCAGTTAGGGTTCTCAGCACTTTCTTCTGTCCTTTTTTTAACTCTTCATATTATGTTCAGATGATCATACTGTCAAGGTTTGTGTACATTACTGAAAATTTGTATTGTATAAAGCTTTTTGCATTACAAGGCTGTACAGGGTCATTTTGACAGTAACTGGTATATTCCTTTGCATCTTATGTTGCATTGCCAATTTCTAGTGTATCCAGTTTGAAAGTATAATATACTCTAATTAAAAAAAAAAAGGTTGGCTATACTCTTGTTTCTTTTTCTTTTTTGGTTTGCCATCCTTGACTGCTTGTTAGGCTCAGGTTTTTGTTTTTCTTGCTTTGTTCTGGTTTTTTACTTCTCAGTGTATCAGATTTCAGAAATGTCCACTCCTGGTTATAACTGTCACAAAATTCAAGTGTTGAACAGCCATGGTTACAAGACAAACTGTTATTAAGTACATCATTAATGGGCATTAAGGTTGAGAGCATATCCATCATTCAGGACAGTGGTAGGCCAGCTCCTTCCTAAAATTACTTAGTGACATTTAAAAGTGTTCACCAGCCCTGTCCTCTCCTGCTTAACATCATTTTGTTGACCCCATAGCCAAAGGGGGGAAAACAGATGAATAATT